AGGTGATGGAATATATTATAACTATTAGGTGATGGAATATATTATAATTGTTTAATGGGATAATTTAGAAGTAGAATATTTAATGGGGCGTGAAAGGGAATCCACTCACTATAAGATATGAAGGTGACACGCTTGAATTGGCAACTCTTGGGGAAACCTTGTTTTGAAAGGTGGGTACAGATTGAAATTGTACACAGGACAGATAAAAGTATAATTGTTTTGAAAATAGGAAAACCTTGAAAAGGATATGCAATAGATTTAGAAATTTATGAGTTATAAAATAAGCCCGAGGGAAGTATTTGAGAGGGAAAATGAATACAGAATATTTAAAGTAGTGATAAGATATGAAATTGAAGATGAAAAATGAATAGGTAACTGTGATTATATCTGTGTGGAGATTTGAAAACCTGGAACCAAGCTGTTCACTAAAAAAAAGATGTTTTATTTTTCTATGTTTTGTGAAAACCGTCCTGGTAGGGCAGAGCTGGGATATTTCAACTGTGCTTCTGCTTCCCTGGCTTAATTTGCCAAAGAGAGTAGCCTGCTTTTTGCCTCTAGCACCTTACAAGGCATCATGTGTGTGAGTAGTAATGTGGCTTTGCTTTTTGCAGGGTTTTGGCCGAGCAAAACATGCCGTTGCCACAGAGAAGCTGAAGGCCAGGTACCCCGATTATGAAGTCACCTGGGCCGATGAAGGATATTGACCTTCTGACCTCACCTTTGCGACTGCACAGCAGCAAGCGGGGACTGACGTGGAAGCCAGGTGTGGAAATCCTGCCGGCCTCCGGAGCTGTGCGCTGGACTGCCCGGTGACCAAACCCGGTGTGTCTGTGCATTGGTAGAAGGAAAATAAATGATTTGCGCTCGATGCTTAAGGTGTCATGTTCCCTCACGCCTCTTCCTGGATCCATTCGGTTCCTGTGATGTCTAGAGAAACGACGGTGAAGGGAGGAAGATAGTTTTATGTTTGCGTATGGACTGGAAAAACCGCAGAGGAAGCAGCTGAAATAATAAGCATGGACATCTGCACCGTTTAGAATGCAAACTCGCAAAGATTGTCCTCATCTGCTTGCCACAATGGCTCCGTTTCGTGCGTATACAAAGCAGCAATGTTCCCATGGCTGCTTGCACTTTTTAAGTTGCTTTGTTTTCTTGATAACTGTAGCCAGTCAGTGTCTTTTTTTTTCCTGGAAAAGTTGTAACGTTTTCGTGTAACATGGAAAGCTGTAGGAAGCTGCTTAGAAAGGGAAATAAAGTGGCCCTGTTCTGGGCCGGATCCAAACTGCATGCTGAGGTGGGCTTTTTCCTCTCTCTCTCTCTGCTCCGGTCCAGCATGGAAACATTGATATTTCTTGGACGGTTCGGGTCGGTGGTAAAGCAATGCTTGGGCTTGTCCTGCTAATGACCTGCGGACCAGTTTTCTGGACAGCGTGCGAGTCTGCCAAGATCTTTCCTGGAGATTATGACTTTGATTGCACGAAGTCCAAGGGCGCCTTCGCGGAAATGAGGTTGGATTTCTTGGCCTGTGAGAGCAACAAGTTCTTGCAAAACCTCACTTTCTTGGAAACGAGGTTTTTACAATCTCTTGCAGTCTGACTCTCGGGGTGTGTGTGTGTGTGTTTTTAAATAAAAGAGTGCACAACTTGTGACCGATCTGAACTGGAGACAGATATTCACGTTCCTACTGGATGGCAAGGTGACTAGAACCCTTTGTTCTTTTCCCATCCGAACGGCTGCTTCAGTGTTCATAGCCGCTCTCTCACTCTCTCTCTCTCTATGGCATACAATAAAACAATAAACCACTTGCCAGGCAGCCTTGCAAGAGAGTTTAGAAATGCCAAGGGACAGCAAGAGGCTGGAGGAGCACTGTGGGCTGAGGAAGGGCAAGGGGGCTCATGGATGACACGACCTGCAGGGTTGCCCAGTGAATTCCAGCCAGGAATTCATCCGTGATGAGCTTTTCCTCTCATTCCTGGGGCAGGCAGCAACCAAGCCAGAGCTGAAGTTAGATCAGGAAGGGCCCGATGTTGGATGCCACCTCCTCTGCCTTGTTAAAACAAAAGGCTGGTAGAAGCGGTCGGCGACCGAAAGAAAGCCTTGGACCCTAAGAAGGAAAGGAAGCTGAGACTTGGCGGCAGAGGGGCACAAGGTTTGCTTGCTAGATTGGCACGCAGCTGCCCTTCTCTGCCTTTTTTTTATTGCTCCAAGGACGTGTCCAGGCCGTTGGGACCCTCTCCGCGCTGAAAGATGGGTGGGAGCATCCTGCTGGTGTCCCCCTCCCTGTGGCCAGTCCCCACCCTGCGCCTGGGCTGTGCCTCCTTCCCTCCTGCTCAGCCCCCGCGGCGTATCTCGCAGGGCAAGGTGATCGGGGAGGTTGAAGTCCAGGCACATCGTTGCTGGAGCAGCCTTTCCTCCTCGCTCTTCCCCAACCGAGCAGGCTTGATCTTGGCTGCTGGGCAGGCCCAGGATGCCGGGGTCCCGGGGGCTGCGGTCCTTCCTGCTCCTGCAGGTGCTGATGGGTGAGTTTTTCAAGAGGAGGAAGCCGCCCCCCCTTTGCTTGGGGCTGCATGGAAAGGTCCTGAATCGGAGAGGGAAACAGCTGAGCTTTGATTTGAGGGAACCGAAGGAGGGAAGGAGCCAGCCAGGCTGAACCACCTGCTCCTCCCGGGGCCGTTTTGTGTCTGCTGGGAAGTTCAAAGCCTTCCCTGCGTTTTGGAATGTGCCCTTTGGGCTGCGCTTGTGTTTGTTTAAGGTGCAAGAAAAGTGGTTACGTGCAGATTGTGAACCTTCTCTCGGCTTCTCCGTTTTCCTCTATAAACTCTGCCCGTTGACACCTTTATAGCTTTCAGGAGGGACTCAGAGATTTTACCTCCAATCCTGAGAACTGATTTACACTATGAATATTAATTCAGCTCTCTACTTTCTGTATTTGGGTCCGAGCAGTGCAAAATTCCCTCAATGGGATCGTCGGCACCCGTCCTGTTGCCACCGCATGGATCAACGGGTGCAAACTTTTGCCTTGACCAGCCCGGTTCACGTCCTGCTCTCGGAGAAGGGTTGGGCTCCTTCTTGGCTGAGCTGCCTGGGTTGAGCCATGGAGAACGGCCGGAGGAGGAGCAGGTGGGCCAGTCAATGGCCTCTGGGAGCCCCACCCATTGGGGGTTTCTTTCTTGGTCTCCTAGCGGGTCCTCCGTTTGGTGTCCAGGCTGTCTTTGTCAACCGATGTGGGAGTCCAAGGGTGTGTGATTTTGTGTGTGACTGCTGGGATTGTTCGGACGAAAACCAGTGTGGTGAGTTTGGCCTCCTTTCTGGTTCCTCCGGG